AGCTCCCCGGTTATAGGTCTGGGATGGGCCCCGCTGCCTTCCTAGCAGGCTGCTCAGTTAGGAGACTGGGCAGGTGTATGAGACAGCTGCTCCAGTGAGTTCAAGTAAGAAGCGGGTGTCTGAACCCTGACTCTGGCAGTGTTGGCATGTTGCAGTGGGTGGGGTAGAAAGTAGAGGTGGGGGTTAACCTCTCAGGTTGATGGCTCCTGCCAATCAAGACACAGGCACAAGAGGAAGACCTTCCCATGGGCACAGCTTTCCAGGGGTTGGAGGCATTCCCCCAGCTACTCCCGAGTCCTGCTTTGAACCCTTCCCTAACACGTATTTGTTCCTGGAGATGCCCCAGTGACCATTAGTGATAACCTCCTTCAAAACCCCTTCCCCACCTGAAGTGGCATGCTTTCATTATTCTAGCATCACCATCCTGGTAAATAGAGGGTTTGTCCCTAGGAAGAAAGTGAATCCTGACACACGGCAGAAGGGCCAGGTAAGGGACACGACCTCCCCCCTCAGGTGAGCAGGGCTGCAGGAAGCACCCCGTCTCCACGTGAAGCCTAAGGAGCAACCTCACACTTTCCTTACAGATTGAGGGAGAAGTGGACCTGGTGGGGATGGTGAGGCTGACAGAAACCAGGAAGCCTTTTGTCCCTGAGAACAATCCAGAAAGGAACCACTGGCATTACCGGGACCTGGACGCCATGGCCAAGCTCACAGGCGCAGACCCCATTTTCATTGATGCGGACTTCAGTACGTTGTGACCAGCCCACCCCAGGTTAAGCGGCGTTAGGACATGAGGGACCTGCTTACCTTCCTGTTAATCCAGGGCATCCCGCTACCTCCCACTGTCCACATTCTAGTGTTGGGGGAGGGTGGCCACTGTGCTTAGCAGGTATGAAAACGCAGCAAGGCTGGGGGGCTGGCTGGGTAGATTCAAGGTCCCATGGAAATCAGCCATGCAAAAATGCATTCTGGGAAAGAGCTAGAAAGCACCCAGCGGCTGGTGCCCTAAGAAATGGAGAACACTGAGCCTGTCTCTGCAGAGAGCACAGTCCCTGGAGGACCCATTGGAGGGCAAACCAGAGTGACCCTGAGAAACGAGCACTTGCAGTACATCATCACCTGGTGAGTCCCTGTCCCCAGCTGCTGCCCTGCCCTCCTCCCACCTTCAGAACCCGTTCACTTGCTCTTTCTTTTAACCCAAGGTACGGACTCTGTGCAGCCACATCATACCTGTGGTTTAAGAAATTTGTACGTCGGACTCCTGGTCTGTGACAAGATTAGCCGATTAACGGAGCGCTATCCCAGGAAGTCAATGAATAAACATTTCAAGAGATTCGGTTTTGTTCTGGGTCATGTACTATTATTGGTACAAATAAATATCTACATCTCATGCATTCCATTCTACCTGAAGGTGCCAGTTTTAACTGATTGATCAGAAAATCCAGACCTGATTTGAGTATTCAT